GAACATACTGAAATGTACAGGGCATTTGGGAGGAAAATAATGAGATGCACAGGGCAGTACTTAATGTGAAGACCTCACCATAGAGACAGGAATTAAGTCACCTGGAGCCAAGGGAATACCCTTTATGCCTTTGCTTAAAAGCACCATTTTCTGTACTATATACCACAAGAGCATTGGGCCATGGCACATTAATGGATTCTGGACTGATAATGGGTGTCCAAAGATAAAAGAGGGTTGAATGGGTCAAAAAGTTGGGAAACATTGAGTACTCTATCTCTTTTCATAGATGCAAAATAAACATTAGTCTAATACATGTTCTAAGGAGTCCTTAGAAAATAAATCTCTTTTTCTCTGTTTAACTATTTGTTTCTTTTACTTACCTGAACAGAGCTTTTTATTTTCTTCCTAGTAACAAACTGTTGTTGTATATAAGCTACCACTGATTATAAGGTATACCATTATTTGCTACTAAGAAAGAAAAATAATCTCTGCCAATTATAATTGTACTATATTGTCAATTATATGAGAAACATTCTGATTTGAGAGGTGTTGACATGAAAAAATGTGAAACTTAAAATCTTGAGATGGTTGGATGGAATGAGGTTTGGTTTTTAGATATGTCAAGTTAATGGGACCTTTCTTCTCTGAGCTAGGCTATGTTGTAATTGCTCACCCTTGTTTCTTTTTTTTTAATCACTATGCAATGGACATTATAAGATGCTAAGGTTGTGGCATAAATACAGCCTGCTGACCAACAGAATTTTGTGTTCCTCTTCCACAGTATAGGATTGGTGCTGTGAAGTGGTACTCACTGTTAAGTGTGTGTGCGTGTGTGTCTGTGTGTCTGTAAGTTTTGGGTAGGCGGAAGAGCCTTGAAGCTTAGAAGATAGAGATCCCTTGCAACTTGATATTGTGTTGGGTCTAGTTTTGGTCAAATGCAATGAGAGCAGAGATAATGCATGTCACTTCTGAGCAGAGGTAGTTAAATACCTGACATCCCCTACTTTCTTCACATTCTACAGTAAACTTGGAGGCTGTATGTTGAATATGAAAGTATAACGAAGTAAAAGAAACGTAGAACCAGGAATCGTACCTGGCGTACTCCAATCAGAAATATCCTCATTGAGTGTTTCATGAACAAGGAAAATTTTATTGTGTTAAGTCACAACAAAATTTGGAAGTTTATACAGCAAGTAGCTTAGTCTAACACTTGTCAGTTTTGTGCATATTTCTTACATCATATGCATTACCTGCCAAATAATAGCAAACACTTCTTCTAGGTCCCTGGCAAACATGAGATTCCTCCGTTGACTGACTGATTATGGGTTGTGAGTTGAACTGGCTCTGCATGAAGGATGTAGGTGATCAAGTGGCTTCTTGTGCCTCTGGCCAAAACTCTACCACTGTGCTTAAGATGTGATTAATTACATACAACAAATCCCCATGACACATGTTTACCTATGTAACAAACCTGTTCATCCTCCACGTATACTTCTGAATGGAAAATAAAAGTAAAAAAAAAGAAAAATAGGCCCATAATGGTAACTAAACACCACGGTCTTACCTCATTATAATACTGCATCGGTAAGTCCATCAACATAAGCAAGTAAGATCTGATAACCAAGAGGCTTACAGTTTCTAATTTGTATTTGACACATGGTCTGCCTTCTGGAAGAGCAACACAGAACCTAGATATCTTTGATTAAGGTCGGTAAATGATTGGGTGTTAATCCCATTCATTTCCCATGAAAAGGAAACCTCTTTACAAGTCACTACCAGGGATTCTCCAGTCAAACATAGGAAAAATTTCCAGGAAGACTTCTATAAAATACATGTATTAACATCTCAGAAAACATAGTTGTAAGGACTTCCCTGGGCCCTTTTCCTTAGTTCCTCATCTTGACTATCAAGCAGTTTCCTCTCCAAATGATGGGAAGAAAGAGCATTTTTCTATTACACACTTGTATTACTCTATTCACTTAAGCACTGTGTCCTAGTAATGGGGTCTAGTTATGTATGCCTTGAAATGACACACATATTTGTTTCCCATTCTTAGGGAGTGGAGTGTTTCTGTACATGTATATGTGATGGGGTAGGTCAGGAGATTTTTTTTATCTAGGCAATACCCAGCCTGAAATAATTATTAGCATAACATGAGGTAATCGTATTTCTATTTTAGAAAGATGTTTTTAACTGCAGGATGAAGAATTAATTGGAAGAGCTGATACATTGAAAGAGGTGAATCTAGACTTTGGGAGGCTTCTTAATAGTGTATTGCACTAGTCCTGGCCGTGGGATACGTTTAATAGTAATGCTAGTAGAAATGGCGACTGACATTTTGGAATTGTTTTAAAATTTCTAGAGTTTGTTGGAATATTTTTTAAAATGTAGGTTTCATTATTCAGCTATCGTGAAAATAACAGATCAGAAGATGATGCCACTGGAAATATAGTTTGTTGTTTACAGTTCCTAAGAAGCAGGGGCATGCCATACCATGCAGGGCCACATAGGTAGCACCAGAGACCGCCAGGAGGCAGAGGGAGCAAGAGGAAATTATAGGCACAAGCTTTTATTGTTGTTACTGCAGAAAAGGCAAGGCAAGGCAGGGTAAGCAGGGATAGGACTGGCTAGTTTGAATAACCTCAGTGGGCTCTGGGGTATAGGGTCTGTCTCTAGTTGTCTGGTACCTGGACCTTGATGATTAGGGCTGAATAATGGTGTCTACTTGGATGTGAGAGCCAGGTAGAGGAGGTGGTTCAGAGTAAGGGCTCTAGATTGGTTAGCGTACATAAGAAAAGCATGCTCCAGGGCAAATCTTTTGCTATTTTTTTAGAACTAACTAGCCCTGGTAGGTGCAGTCTCTTCCCAGATGCCAGAACATGAAGAACACAGAAAAGAAGAAAACTGAGTTAATACATGTTTAGCATGAGAAATGAGGAAGTAAGGGAAATAAAGTCAAAGAGATTTCCACCTTGAATGACGATGTCAAAGTGAAACACCATTAATCTTCCAGGGAAATAAACTTTATTCTGTGTCAGCCACTGCTCTAAAATCTTTCCATAAATAGTCTCAATCCTTAGAGCAAAGCTTTGACATGGAGGTTGTTTTTAATCTTACCTCTACTGGTATGTTGATGGAGTCTACAAGAGTTTGTGCTGAGTCCACCACAGAATGGTCCCTCACAGCTTGGTTTTTGACATGTTGGATTGCAAGTGCTTGGAGGATATTACAGTAGAACTATCTAGCACAAAAGTACCCATAATATTTCCATTTTAAATCATGTTCTTACAGAACAGAAACTTACATTGCACTTGCTACTTTCCAGACACTGTCCTAAAAGCTTTACAAATGCCAGCTCATTTAATCCCATGACAATCCTTTGAGATACATATTACCATCCTCTTTCTATCCACATTTTCAATCCTCATCATAGCTCTCATTTATGGAATGTAATGACAATGCTCTAGACTAGGCGTTTTAGGTAAGTTAGCTTCATTCAGTAATTCAAGACACATGTGATTATCTCCATTTTAAAGACCAGAAAACTAAAGGTTGGTAGGTTTGTATAATTTGACTACCATCGCATATCTTCATTTTAATACATTTTATAAATGCGAGCTTCTGCTATGATTAAAAATGATTACCACATTTTACAGATAAGAAAGTAATAATAAGTGTTGGTGAAGATGTGAAAAAATGAGAACACTTGTACACCATTTGTGGGAATATAAAATGGTACAGATGCTGTGGAGAATCGTATGGTGGTTGTGCAAAAAATTAAAAATAGATTTACCATATGATCCAGCAATCTAACTTCTGAGTACATATCTAGGAGAACTGAAAGCAGGGACTTTAAGAGATATTTGCACAACCATGTTCATAGGAGCATTATTCACAATAGCTAATGTGTGGCAACAATGCAAGTGTCCATGAACAGACAAATGGATAAGCAAAATGTAGTATGTACATAGAATGGAATATTGCTCAGCTTTAAAAAGGAAGGATGCTTTGATCTATACTACACAGAAATGAACCTTGAAGACATTATGCAAAGTGAAATAAACCAGTTACAAAAAGACACATACTGTATGATTCCACTTCTAAGAGATACCTAGAGTAGTCAAAATTATAGAGACAAAAAGCAGCGCATAGTTTCCAGGGGCTAGGGAAAGGAGAAATGGGGAGTTATTGCTTAATGATTAGTGGTGATTGTACAAAAATATGAACGTAGTTAATGCCACGGAATTGTACGCATACAAATGGTCAAGGTAATACATTTTATGTTATGTTATGTCATGTCATGTTATGTTATGTGATTTTACCATAATAAAGAAAATGGGGGAAAAAAAAGAAAGAAAGTAAAACTTAGTAGTTTACGTGACTTGACCGATGCCTCGAGGCCATGAGTCACCCAGCTGAGATCTGAACTTCAGTATATTCAATTCTGAAGTCCCAGACTTTTCCCAATCTTCTTGTACTTTTCAGTGTTTCACTGGAGCTTTATTTTCAGTTTTGTATGTGAGTTTCTTCACAAGAAGAGGTGGACCAAATTGCATCCTTGCAAAAACTTATATATTGAGGTCCTAAACCCCCTACCTCAGATTATGACCGTGTATGGAGAGAGAGCCTTGAAAGAGGTATGTAAGGTAGAATGAGGTCATTATGGTGGGCCCTCATCCAGCATAACTGGTGTCCTTATAAGAAGGGGAGATTAGAATTTAGACACAGTTGCTGACATCTTGAGTTCAGACTGGAAGCCTCTAGAATTGTGAGAAAATAAATCTCTGTGGTTTAAGCCACCCAGTCTGTGGTAATTCATTATGGCAGCCCCAGCAAACTAATACAAATAGTGTTTCCACAGCTGAAACAAAATTGGAAAATCACCATCATCCTAGAGAGTTACAAGGGCTATTTTAACAGCATCTGATGGTTTTCCTAAATTCGCCAAGCCCAGACAGAGGTCAGATGACTTCCTGGGATAAAAGCCAACTAGCTTCCTCTTGCTGTTTCTTTAGCCACTGGTCTGCAGACGTTTTCTTCTTCTCCTTCTAACTTCCTCTCCTGTGACAAAAGAGATAACTATTAGACAAACAAAAGTCCAGAATGCTAAGGTTGCAACTTTCACTTCCTCTCACCCTTTAGCCCAGAACTGCTTTGAATGTACCAGTTGCTGTGGGGCACCGGCTTGAGGAAGAGAAGACACCAGTGCCTCAGAAACTGCCCGGTGAAACGGTGATAGCGAGCCACGCGTTCACGGGGCCACTGTCGCTCACAGAAGTAGTGAGGATGATGCCAGGATGACGTCTGCCTTGTGCCTGGCTGGGACTCTGATCCCAGCCATGGCCTTCCTCTCCTGCGTGAGACCAGAAAGCTGGGAGCCCTGCGTGGAGGTATGTGGCTGGAGTCAGCGCCTCTGAACTCTCCCTCACTTCTGCCCAGAGCTTCTCACTGTGTGCGCTGGTTTATTTTTGCAAAAAAAGAGTTAAATTACCTTAAAGACTCAAGAAGCCACAGAGATCAAGTAATTCATTGTTAAAGGGCACTAAAGGCAGCCAATGGGGGTTTGTTCCATTTGGAGATTTTGAGTGCTAACAGGGGCATTAGATTACATAGATCTGCGTAAGGTCCCTGCTCTGCTACCTTGTGGCTGTGTGAAAAAATTATCAAACCTGTCTGAGACTAGTTTTCACATCTATAGGAGAATTATAATACCTTCTTCACCAGAGAATAAACAGACTGCTTCAGTGTCATTTCTTCCCACCGGTGGTCTTTACACTCAGCTTCAAGCAGTTCCCCTGCTCCTTTCAATCTCAGGAAGAAGATGGCTTTTGTGTGTGTGTCTCTACAGAAAGAACTTTCTAAGTGGGTGTCAGACTTCTGTATGCAGTCATATAGTTTAGTCCAGAGGATGAAAAAAATAAGAGAGTGAAAAAGGAAAAGAGAGAGAGAGAAGAAAAAAGCAAGAGGGAAATATGTATAATATCAGCTATTGCAACAGTTTGTTTCTTGGTGAAATACCAATCAGCTGGTTGATAATCTTATTCATGATGGATCTTTTTTGTTTTTCCCCTGCACAGACTTCACAGTTGCTTTAGAAACCCATAGTAGAGCCGAACAGCTAAGAAAATGATTTACAGTGAGGCAGGGTCAGAAACTCAAGAGAGGCAAAGCCAGCTGCAGTCCTGAAGTTGAGGATATGGGAGAAAATCAAGTAATATTTAGCAAAGACTAATTCATTATCTCAAAGCCATCCCTTCCCTCAATTCCCCGCCCATAGTCCTCCTCCTTGTCTTCTTCTCTGTATCCCTCTGCTGTTAGGTTAGTGGAGATAGATTTTCTAATTAGGCTCACTGCGAGATAAAACCACAGCCAACCTTGACTTCTTCTTTTCCCCATGTACGATTTCCTGTAAGTCCCTGAAGCCTGTCCATACCTGCCCATCCCTTTCTTGCCACTGTACGGCAGGCCCTCATTTCCCCTGGCGTTGACTCTTACACAGTGACTGCTTTCCTGATTCCAGTCTTCTTCCTTTAATTCATTCTGCACATTCTTGTTTGTTATGTATTTGCATTTGTTGTTATTATTTTTCCTTAAGCTTTGATCTAACAAATTATCTCCTTAAAAACTTTTGATAACTCTCCATTGCCATTAGGACAGGTTTCTACCACAGGGCCTTTGCACTGGCTATTTCTTCTACCTAGAATGCTAGATCAGTGCTATCCAATGACAATATTATGTGAACCACATATGTACTTTTAAAGTTTTTAGTAGCCTCATTAAAAAAAGAAACAAGTGAATTTAATATTTTTATTTAACTTAGCATATTTAAAATAATGTTTAAAATTTTCATATATATTTACCTATTACTGATATTTTACATTCCTTGTTTGGTACTAAATCTGGAATTTAGTATATATTTTACATTTACCATGCATCTCAATTTAGACTATTCACGTTTCTTGTGTTAATAACTGTGTATGGCAAGTGACTACCGTACTGGTCAGTGCAGCCCTGGTCATTTTCATGGTTTAATCACTCCATTCAGATTTCTGCTTACATGTCCCCTCCTCAGGGCAGTCTTCCTTGATTGCCCCATGTAGAGCTCTCCAGCCTCACTTATTTGCCTCAAATTCCCTTTTATTGCTTTATTTTTTTTTTTCCGGAGCACAACATTTTATATTTTTGTTTGTTTATTTTCTCTCTCTTCCTTTGTAACGGAATTGGCAAGGACCACTATATTTCCAGTGGTCAGCACACAGTAGCCACTAAATTTATATGTGATAAATGATTGAAATAATTGCTGCAGGACAAAATCTGAGGCCCTCCTGATCTGGTTTGCCCTCTTACTTAGGTTTCACCACTCCTACCACTCACCAGCTAATCTAAGTTTGTTTTCCACTCTTTCCATGCTCATGTTGTCCTCTCCTTACGACATGTTTTTTCTTCCCCTTTTCACATATCTAAACCTTACTCATCTTCTGAGACCCACTTTAAAATCTTCCTTTTCTGGGAAGCCTTTCCTGAATACGGACTTGACCTCTGCTTTCTCTGAACCACAGGACAAATTTTCTAAGCCTATTTTATGGCCCCTTGAGACAGTATTAGCTTTGCTCCTATCTAAACTTTTACTCTAGACTGTGAGTCCATTGAAGTCTGGAGCCACATCGTATTTTTCTTTGTAATGCCCACAGCGCTTGGCAGAAAATGTCTACAATGTGGACTTAAGTAAACCTTCATTTAATCAGTTATTCAATCAGTTATTGATTCAGCAAATATTTATTGAGCATCAACCATTTGCCAGACACCATTCTGAGTGCTGGAGACAAAGCAGTGGGCAAAACCATTGAAACTTGCAATGGAGTACAGGAGATGAACAATCCGATGGCAACAATCACATAGACAACATAATGTTAGATGGTGGTGTATCCTGTGAAAGGGAATAAAAGAGGGAAAAGAAAGAGTGCCTGGCTCTGTTTCTATTAGGCAGTACTGTCTTTGAGGCTCCATGGCTTGTAACATTTAAGCAGACATACAAATGAAGATCTGCGTGTTTGAACTCTGACTTTGCGCATATTACTTCATCTCTTTGAATTTCCATTTTCCTCATCTTTAAAATGCTTATTTGAAGATTAAGTGAAAGTATACAACAAACAAGAGCTATGCTGGCATATGGTAAGGGATTAATAATAGATAATAATAATTAATGTTAACATCTATTGATCACTTATACTGCGGTGGGCTTTTAAATAAGCTCTTTAAACACCTTATCTCATTTAATCCTTCAAACAGATTCTATTGGTTTCAAACAACAGAAAACTACAATTAGTTAGCTTCTGCAAGGAATTTTGTCAGAGAAAATGAAAGCGTTCAGAAATTAGATGGGAGCGTTAGAGAATTAGGCTTACAAAAAATGTGGGAAAGTAGGCTAGAAAGCAGCGTAAGAACGAAGACAGCATAAAGCACTTGACCTTATTTACTAGGTTCCACCATGGGAATCCATGCACTCTAAAGATTTCCCCCTATTTCTACAACAGGGATCAATGAGCCAAGAAAAATAATGCAGCTGTCAAAATCCGGGCTATGACTAAGGAAGGCCTGGACATCTTGACTGCCAGACAGTCTCCCCGATGATGTGGGGTATTTAGAATGATATTGGATATTTTATTTAGTTTTTGTATTTCCAACTTTTATTTTAAGTTCAGTGGTACATGTGCAGAGCATTCAGATTTGTTACATAGGTAAATGTGTGCCATGGTGATTTGCTGCATAGATCATGAAAATATGGAACGTGTCATGGATTTGTGTGTGATCCTTGTGCAGGGGCCATGCTAATCTTTTTTGTATGCTTCCAATTTTAGTATATGTGCTACTGCAGCAAGCACGATATTGGATATTTTAATACCTACATTTTACATCTGATAAAATGAGGCTCACTGAGGTTTTTCTTTTGTTTGTTTTGTTTTGTTTTGTTTTAAAAGACTTTGCCCTAAACCACACGGAATTGCTGGCATGAAACCCAGAGCTTTCAGACTCCGGAGCCTCAGCCCTTCACCCCTTGATTCCATTGCTTCTTGCTAAATGCTGCCATTTTATCACAGAGGTTAGAATGCTGAGCACATAGTATTTGCTCTTTACTTTCTAATCTAGATTAAGACATTTTATAAGTATGAATTGAGCGGATGGACGGATGGATAGATGGATGGAAGAATGGACAGATGGATGAAAAAAGGTCAACTGAATTTTGTGCTTGCACTAAAAGAACCTCCCCGCCCCCGCACCATCTCTGGTTTAGAAGAGGGGAGTTGGGAGACTATGCAGTAAAGACACTTCATTTTGTGTGTAATCATTGCAGGTGGTTCCTAACATTACTTATCAATGCATGGAGCTGAATTTCTACAAAATCCCCGACAACATCCCCTTCTCAACCAAGAACCTGGACCTGAGCTTTAATCCCCTGAGGCATTTAGGCAGCTATAGCTTCCTCCGTTTTCCAGAACTGCAGGTGCTGGATTTATCCAGGTAATGAATGCACTTTTACATACTGCACAAGGTGAGATGTTCATTGTCCTATCATTTCATTATTGGAGTGGAAAGCTTGCTTGGTGGAGTCTCATCTGCATTCACTTATTTATTCATACAACAGATGTCTTATTAACTATATAGCCTTGACCATGCTACCTCTATTCTTCAGGTCTCAATTTTCTCATCTGTGAAATAGGCAGTTGGCTAAGACAGCTTCTAAGGGAAATTCTAATTTTTAGGTTTTCTTTTAAGACAGGAGAGAAAATTAGCTTAAATTCTTTCATAAGTGGCTATTTATTGACTACTTACTATATGTTGTACACTCTGCAAGAAGACAGGCATATATTGATATATAACACACAGCCCCTGTTGTTAAGGAGGCATATCTTCTTGAAAGAGTTAATACCTTAAAGTCCTGGGTATGGTCCTGGGTACGTAGCATATTTTCAACACTTTTGAATTATGATTTTTTGGATCTTGAAGCTGATATAAATATAGCAATATATAACAGTAGGTGATAAACTATATCTAAACTAAAGGTAACAAATTGTATTTTTCAGAAGAGGGACTTCTCTGTGGCGGGTAGTCAAGAAAAATTTCATGAACTGCATAAGATTCAAACAATGTCTAGAATATTAAAAGTAGGGTAGAGGATAGGGAATTAGGAAAAGACAAGTAATCCAAGGAGAAAGATGTCAAGATTAAAGGAAAACATCTGCTGTGGGCAGGGAATAGTGGCTAAGATTTTCTTTTCTGATGCAGGGAAGTATATCGTTTGTTGTGGCAGGTGAAACTGTCATCATGATATTTTAAGGGAACAAAATTCTAAAAGGGTTTTCATCATCGGGGCCTTATTTGCAAATCGAACTAGATAATGGAAATGTTCTCTGCAGTGGTTTGTAAAACATTTCAAAACATTTTACTTATTTTTTATTATAGAAATTATTGATAAAGACTAAGGTCACAATATGAAAATCCTTTTTAGAGCAGACATTTCTGTAGAAGAGTGAACATATGACCTATTATACCCTAACTTGGATAAAGGTAGGATAAAACAAAGCGGTAATGGAACAATTCAAAGGCAGTGGTATAGTGCATAGAGTCCTGTTGGAGTCAGAAGACTGGAGCCAAGTTTACCCCCAACGTTTATAACCATGTAACCTTAGGCATATTACTTCATCTCCCTTAGTCTTAGTTTTCATGTCTGATCAATGGAAATGATGCAACTTATCCTGCTGGATTAAATGTGATAATAAATATTAATATGCTATATATATTTAAATTTTTATAAAGTATATTTTGTAAGCATAAAGTATTATTCTTACAGAATTTCATTTGTTTTTTAAAATAATTAAAAACTTTTATTTTTATTCAGGGGTTTACATGGTTATATTGTGTGATACTGAGGTGTAGGGTACAGTTGACACCATTGCTCAGGTACTGAGCATAGTACCCAGTAGTTAGTTTTTCAACCCTTGCTGCTTTCTCTCTATCCCCTCTCAAGTAATCCCCAGGGTCTATTTTTGTCATCTTTATGTCCATGTGTACCCCATGTTTAGCTCCTACTTATAAAGTGAGAACCCATGGTATTTGGCCTTCTGTTCCTTTGTTTATTTGCTTAGGATAATGGCTATCAGCTGAATCTATGCCATTATGTTCTAAATTTCAGTTTTCTGCATGAAAATTTTGTCACATACTCTATTAAGGTAGACCACCTCTCCCCCCCCCCTTTTTTTTCAAACAAGTAGTTTTTCACCAAACAATGTCTGTTATGCAATTCATCTTCAATCCACTAGATACCCAAGAAACTTGCCCCAGAAACCTTAAATCTGTGCTTATAGAGAGGCCAGCTTCCCTTCTAGCTAGCCCATAGGAGATTCTGAATTAGGGCAAGCACAAATAATAGCACAATAGACATCCTTTGCCTTTTCATACAGTGTTCACATACAATAACTCAACTAGTCTTGTAAGAATGCTTTGTGATAGACCAGGCAGCCTTCTTCCCCCATAGAAATCTATAATATATATGTATGTTTCTTTTTATAGATGAAGAGACTGAAGCTTGAATAATTTAAGTGACTTATATACATTATCATTGCTTGTTAGCCACAGACCAAAGATTTAAGTTCACATCTCCAGAATCCAACTTAATTGTTCTCTTTGTCTTAATACTCTACTTCTCTACAGTGACTATCACCAATGTAATGATATAGAGATACAGCAAGACCCTTTAATTCTTGCCTGATGTATACAGCAATGCAGAGATAGAATGATGGGCTGTAAAAAATCATATAATTGAAAGAGAGAACTTCAAAAATAATCCAGTTCAGCTGTTTGATTTATAAATGTGGTAACTAAAACCTAGAGAGGAAAAGAGGTATTCAAGATCACCCAGTAGGAGAGAACTGCAGAAGCACCAAACCCAAGCTCTTTTGTCCACTCTTCCAGTGTTCTTTCTAGTATACTGCTTATCCTTTATCTAGTTACCAATAAATAACAAAAGCTTGGACCACAATGCTTTTATTATCTAGGAAACTCCTGAAGAAGCTAAAATGGGTGGGGAATATTGTAAATGTAATTCAGACTGGATTAAGAAAGAACTTATTTGTACGTTGTAATTGACAAGCACCTGCAATGATAAAGGAATTTATCATTTATCATGATGGCTTGCTGTTTGCTGGCTGCATCAAAGCCCTATCTCTAGGACATGTCTCTGAACATTCTATGTAGGATGGCTTTCATTTCTCTTGGGATAAAATTCAAAACCCTTCACCTGGGTGGTAAACCTCTGCCTAATTGGAAATCTTCTTTCTCCACAACTCCATATTGTACACTCCAATTTCATCTCTGTACTCCAACCATGGAAGCTATTTGTCATGATTACTCTGTGTGTCATTTTTTGCTGTCAACCTTGGGGCTTTTGTGTTTGCTGTTCACTTCACCTCCTTTTATCGTTAACTTCTACTCATCTTTCAATTTTCAACTTAAGTGTTCTCAGAGAAGCCTACTTTGATTCTCCTGGTCCACAACAGTTCTCTGGATGTGAACTCTTATAGCACATGATTTTCACTTTTTTTCCACAAAACTCACTCCTATCACAGGTTACAAACATTTATCTCTGATAACAACAACTTTCAAGTATCGAGCCATCATGTATGCACTTTTCATAAACATTAAGAGTATCCGTGACACTTATGTGTAATTTTTCATATCTCTGAAATTGATATTTACTAGTCATTTATCTTGGCTAACAACTAACAACTATCCATATTATCTGTACCAATCAGATGTATAATCACAATTTTGTGTGACAGAAAATGGCTAAACTTGATCCAAGGCTATTACATGCTTTATCAACTGCACAATCTTTATATATGTCAATTATTGACGTTTAACTGATTTCCTTCTTATGGATTTTCTCCTCTGCTTATCATGTATGGCTAACATGACAAAAAAGAGCCTATCATTGCAGCCAGTATGATAATACTCAATCTGTGGGGCTTCTTATTTGCTCATGCCATCATCATCTGTCCTGCTTGATGTCTTTGACCCATCACATCCTGTATGAAGAACTGGATGACTAGGATTAATATTCTATTTTAGGTTCTTATTCAGCAGAAATGTTATATAATCAATGTATTTTTATTCCTGTAGGTGTGAAATCCAGACAATTGAAGATGGTGCATATCAGAGCCTAAGCCACCTCTCCACCTTAATATTGACAGGAAACCCCATCCAGAGTTTAGCCCTGGGAGCCTTTTCTGGACTATCAAGTTTACAGAAGCTGGTGGCTGTGGAGACAAATCTAGCATCTCTAGAGAACTTCCCCATTGGACACATCAAAACTTTGAAAGAACTTAATGTGGCTCACAATCTTATCCAGTCTTTCAAATTACCTGAGTATTTTTCTAATCTGACCAATCTAGAGCACTTGGACCTTTCCATTAACAAGATTCAAAATATTTATTGCAAAGACTTGCAGGTTCTACATCAAATGCCCCTACCCAATCTCTCTTTAGACCTGTCCCTGAACCCTATAAACTTTATCCAACCAGGTGCATTTAAAGAAATTAGGCTTCATAAGCTGACTTTGAGAAATAATTTTGATGATTTAAATGTGATGAAAACTTGTATTCAAGGTCTGGCTGGTTTAGAAGTCCATCGTTTGGTTCTGGGAGAATTTAGAAATGAAAGAAACTTGGAAGAGTTTGACAAATCTGCTCTGGAGGGATTGTGCAATTTGACCATTGAAGAATTCCGATTAACATACTTAGACTACTACCTCAATAATATTATTGACTTATTTAATTGTTTGGCAAATGTTTCTTCATTTTCCCTGGTGAGTGTGAATATTAAAAGGGTAGAAGACTTTTCTTATAATTTCAGATGGCAACATTTAGAATTAGTTAAGTGTAAATTTGAACAGTTTCCCACATTGGAACTCAAATCTCTCAAAAGGCTTACTTTCACTGCCAACAAAGGTGGGAATGCTTTTTCAGAAGTTAATCTACCAAGCCTTGAGTTTCTAGATCTCAGTAGAAATGGCTTGAGTTTCAAAGGTTGCTGTTCTCAAAATGATTTTGGGACAACCAGCCTAAAGTATTTAGATCTGAGCTTCAATGATGTTATTACCATGAGTTCAAACTTCTTGGGCTTAGAACAACTAGAACATCTGGATTTCCAGCATTCCAATTTGAAACAGATGAGTCAATTTTCGGTATTCCTATCACTCAGAAACCTCATTTACCTTGACATTTCTCATACTCACACCAGAGTTGCTTTCAATGGCATCTTCGATGGCTTGCTCAGTCTCAGAGTCTTGAAAATGGCTGGCAATTCTTTCCAGGAAAACTTCCTTCCAGATATCTTCACAGATCTGAAAAACTTGACCTTCCTGGACCTCTCTCAGTGTCAACTGGAGCAGTTGTCTCCAACAGCATTTAACACACTCAACAAGCTTCAGGTACTAAATATGAGCCACAACAACTTCTTTTCATTGGATACGTTTCCTTATAAGTGTCTGCGCTCTCTCCAGGTTCTTGATTACAGTCTCAATCACATAATGACTTCCAAAAACCAGGAACTACATCATTTTCCAAGTAGTCTAGCTTTCTTAAATCTTACTCAGAATGACTTTGCTTGTACTTGTGAACACCAGAGTTTCCTGCAGTGGATTAAGAACCAGAGGCAGCTCTTGGTGGAAGTTGAACGAATGGAATGTGCAACACCTTCACATAAACAGGGCATGCCGGTGCTGAGTTTGAATATTACCTGTCAGATGAATAAGACCATCATTGGTGTGTCTGTGTTCAGTGTGCTTGTGGTATCTGTTGTAGCAGTTCTGGTCTATAAGTTCTATTTTCACCTGATGCTTCTTGCTGGCTGCATAAAGTATGGTAGAGGTGAAAACATCTATGATGCCTTTGTTATCTACTCAAGCCAGGATGAGGACTGGGTAAGGAATGAGCTAGTAAAGAATTTAGAAGAAGGGGTGCCTCCCTTTCAGCTCTGCCTTCACTACAGAGACTTTATTCCCGGTGTGGCCATTGCTGCAAACATCATCCATGAAGGTTTCCATAAAAGCCGAAAGGTGATTGTTGTGGTGTCCCAGCACTTCATCCAGAGCCGCTGGTGTATCTTTGAATATGAGATTGCTCAGACCTGGCAGTTTCTGAGCAGTCGTGCAGGCATAATCTTCATTGTCCTGCAGAAGGTGGAGAAGACCCTGCTCAGGCAGCAGGTGGAGCTGTACCGCCTTCTCAGCAGGAACACTTACCTGGAGTGGGAGGACAGTGTCCTGGGACAGCACATCTTCTGGAGACGACTCAGAAAAGCCCTGTTGGATGGCAGATCGTGGAATCCAGAAGAACAGTGGGTACAGGATGCAATTAGCAAGAAGCAACAACTATCTGAAGAGGAAAAATAAAAAACTCCTGAGGCATTTCTTGTCCAGCTGGGCCCAACACTCGTTCAGTTAATAAGTATTAAATGCTGCCACATGCCAGGCCTTATGCTAAGGGCGAGTCATTCCATGGTGCACAAGATATGTGGGGTTGCTAATCTCAAGGAGCTTCCAGTGCAGAGGGAATACATGCTAGATTAAAATACAGAGCCTTCCAGGTGGGCATTTCAACCAACTCAGCCAAGGAACCTATGACAGAGAAAGTCATTTCAACTCTTACCTCATTACGTTGAATAAAGACAGAGAAAGCAGAAAGAGACATTGTTCTTCTCCTGAGTCTTTTGAGTGGAAATTATATCATGTATTATGTTATAGCCATCATAAAACCATTTTGGTAGTTTTGACTGAACTGGGTGTTCACTTTTTCCTTTTTGATTGAATACAATTTAAATTCTGCTTGATGACTTCAGTGGGCTCCTGATGCAAGATGCCCCTTCAATTTTAAGTCAGTCTCCTTACAGAGGTTAAGGTCTAGTGGCTAATTCCTAAGGAAACCTGATTAACACATGCCCACAACCATCCTGGTCATTCTCGAGCATGTTCTGTTTTTTCACTAATCACTCCTGATATATTTTTATTTTTATATATGAAGTTTTCATTTTTTTATGTCTTGCCTATAAGCCAATATCATAAATGAAGTTGTTCGAGACCTGCTTCAAATATCCACATTTATTTAACCACTATTTTTCAAGGAAGTATGTAAAGTACATTCTGTACTTTGTCACTCGATGTCATTGCAAAGTTATTGCCTACTAAGTTATGACTGTCTGAAAGCAGCTTTGAAATAATTTGTTTAAAGGGGGCACTTTTTTTAACAGGGGAACAAATTTTCTGCTTCCTGTTCTTATCATGGACAATTTGGGTTAGAGGCAGGAAGGAAGTGGGATGACCTCAGGAGGTCACTTTTTCTTGATTCCAGAAACATGGACTGATAAACCTGGGGTGACCTCATGAAATGAGTTGCAGCAGAAGTCTATGTTGTTTTATCAGAGCAAGTGATGTTTGATGGATCTCTGAATCTCTGCAGAGAGACATAGAGGGCTGGGATCCCTCCTGTGTACCCTCTTCACTGCCAGGAGAACTACTTGTGAAGGAATTCAAGGCAGGAAGTATACATTGCTGTTTCCTGTTGGGCAATGCTTCCTGACTACATTTTGGGAAGAGTGGATGTTATCATTGAGAAAACAACGTGTCTGGAATTAATGGGATTCGTATAAAGAAGGTTCCCAGAAAACAATGTTCATCCAGCCTCCCCAGAAACAGAACATTCAAGAAAAGGACAATGAGGATGTCATCAGGGAAATGAAAATAAAAACCACAATGAGATATCACCTTATACTAGGTAGAGTGGCTACTATAAAAGAAAAAAAAGAAGTGTCATCAAGGATATAGAGAAACTGGAACCCTTCTACACTGTTGGAGGGAGTGGAAAATGATGTAGCCATTGTGAAAAACAGTATGGAGTTTTCTCAAAAATTAAACATAGAACTACTATATGATCCAGCAATCTCACTTCTGTATATATACCCAAAATAATTGAAATCAGAATTTCAAGAAAATATTTACACTCCCATGTTCATTGCAGCACTGTTCACAATCACTGTTTCCAAAGTTATGGAAACAACCCAAATTTCCATTGAAAAATAAATGGACAAAGAAAATATGCATACATATACAATGGGATATTATTCAGCCTAAAAAAGGGGGAATCCTACGATTTATGACAACATGAATAAAACTGGAGGCCATTATGCTATGTAAAATAAGCAAGTAACAGAAATACAAACACTACCTGATTTCACTTATATGAGGTTCTAAAATAGTCAAACTCATAGAAGCAAGAATAGGACAGTGGTTCCTAGGGAAAAGGAGGAAGGGAGAAATGAAGAAATAGGGAGTTGTCTAGTTGGTATAAAATTATAGTATGCAAGATGAATTAGCCCTAAAGATCAGCTGTATAGCAGAGTTCCTATAATTAACAATAGTGTATTATGCACTTAACATTTTGTTAAGAGGTTAGATCTCATGTTAAGTGTTCTTACCATATATATATACACAAAGAAGCTTTTGGAGGTGATGGATATATTTATTACCTTGATTGTGGTGATGGTTTCACAGGTATGTGAAACTATGTCTAAACTCATCAAATTATGTACATTAAATATATGCAGTTTTATAATATCAATTATATCTGAATGAAGTTATAAAAAAGAAAAGACAACAAAATTCAGTTGTCAAAACTGGAAATATGACCACACTCAGAAGTGTTTGTTACTGAGTGTTTCGGAGTGTGTTTGGTTTGAGCAGGTCTAGGGTGATTGAGCATCCCTGGGTGTGTTTCTATGTCTCATGTACTAGTGAAAGTAGATGTGTGCATTTGTGCACATCTCCCTGTGTATCCTTATCAGGGCTGTATGTATTTGAAAGTGTGTGTCTCCATGATCATATCTGTATAGTAGAGAGTGTGATTCTATTTCTTGAAGAATACATCCATTTGAAGTGGATGTCTATGGCTGTTTGAGATGGGTTCTCTACTCTTGTGCTTGTACAGCAGTCTCCCCTTATCTCATATGCTTGGTGGATATGTTATTAGACCCCAAGTGGGCCTCTGAGACCCCAGATGGTACCAAACCTCATATATGCAATATGTTTTCCTATACACAAATACCTAAGATAAAGTTCATTTTCTGAATTAGGCACAGTAAGAGATTAACAACAACTAATAATAAAATTGAATAGTTACAATAATATATTGTAATAAAAGTTATGTGAATGTGATCTCTTTCTTTCTCGCTGTCTCTCTCAAAATATCTTACTGTACTGTACTCACCTATTTTCAGACGATAACTGACCACAAAACCTGGGAAAGTGAAACTGTGGATAAGTGAGGAACTAACATACATACATGATTGTTTGTCTATAGATGTATGCATCAATTTCTTAGTATGCTTGAAAATGTGTGATTTTGTGTATATCCATGCTACATGTAAGTGTGGTTCTATTCATATTTGAATACGAATTCTGCATAAATGTGTTTATTCAAGCAAATGTACAAGGCTCTGAGAAGGAAGATCAACATACAACTTGGAGTATTTCAGGGCTGAAATATCCAAGGCTGACATTGGCCTTCTTCCTGTCAGTTCCCTCTCCCAGATGGAAATTCTAGAAATGGCAGGTGAAGTGGACAAAAAGGGAAAGAAATTATATGCATAGAACAGAAGGAGAAGAAAGAGTAAAGTCAGGCCTCAGACAGCCTCTTTGTAGCTCTTTAAACCCTCTGGATTTAAGAGGGATGAAGGGTGGAATAAGCAAAAATTAATGCCAATTATAATGCTTTAAATTTGTGTGATCTCTTACAACTTGAAACATATTCACAAAACTATAACCATATTTGAATATCTCATTAGCTTAGTGAGGTAGCAAATCAATAATTACTTTTTCCATTTTATTGATGGGAAAGCTGAAGTTCGATGAAGTACATTTGTCAATAGGCCACGGAGTAGGAAAGTGACAAAACCTGAGCCTGGGCCTCCAGGTCACTCAAGGACACTTTCTTTCTTCCACACCCAATTGCTTCATGCTTAAAGTTGGCAAAACAGGAAGTGAAACTCCTGCAGTTTTCCGTGTGGTTGACACTAGTCAAGGGTTTCTCAACTGAAGCCATGAATCATTAAGCCAATACATATGCATATATGTTATACACACCAAATGATTCATTTATAACCCTATCTTTTCATAAAGGACTTGAAGGAGCTTCAAACAAGGGATACGTGAACAATAGGGTGAATCAATAATAAGTTGAAAATCTGGACGTAGAACAAAAAGAGGAGAGAAAGACACCGAGAATGAGCGTTAACACAGTGCTTTCCACTTTTCTGGTGTTTTGGGTAGTGTGGCTTTTGGAGAAAGTCAAAACTCAGATTCACTACTTATCAACTGTGTGCCTTGGCTCCACTTCTCTGAGTCTACTTAGCTCAAATGTAAAATGAGAATAGAAATATGACTTTGTAACATTTCTCTAAGGATTGAAAATCATGTATTATGTTCAATACAGGGACACTGTCCTTATGGGTGAGTACTCCTCTAAGACTTTATAAACAGGGCACTAGGAGAAGCACTGGGAGGTCTTCTCAGTAACAGCACTAAAGTAATTGCTGCTTTTCCAGCCTGTGGAACCACAGAAGTGACTGTAAGTAAAATTAAGCATTTCTTTCTGATTCGGTCTTGACTCATGGGATTGTCAGACCCCAGTCTTCTTCCGGACTCTATAAACTTTTTAGAAAGCATCAGCAGGCTCCTGGAGAGGCTTAAATGAACTCACACAGTATGTGACAATGAACTCCCTGGAAGAGTGAAAACCAAAGTCTAAGCCAGTGTCTCCATTTACTTGTGTGATTGTGGGAAAGTCACTGAAGTGCTTTGAGGCTCAGGTCTTAATACACGAAATGGAGGTAATAATACCTTGTTGGCAGACCTCACTTGGTTGAAATGATAATGTTGATAGTTACAATAGTTACATTTAATTGATCGATTGTTTTACGCAGGGGCTTTATTTGTGCTATCTCATTTAGTTTGTCACGTCAATGAATTAGAAAGATACTAAAGTATTTCCAATTTACAAATGAGGAGTTTGAGTCTGGGAGCCATTCTATCATGTGTCCACTGTCACCTGCTCATTGGTGGCAGCACTGAGATTAGGTTCTAAGTCCACTTCCCTGCAGAGGCAGGGCTTCTAAATACTGTTCTATGCCAAGAGCACCCTGCTCTCACAAAATGCATAAAACTTCCTATCTCATCATTATAATTTTGACTGATATTAAGCAAAGAGAAGTATTATTATTACTTGTTTTTATTTATATTACAGCTGTAAGAGCCAGGAAAAATAAATCAAAGAGCTATGTGATTAAAGATTTTTTAAGAGGGAACAAATCAGGCCCACTAGATGATGGCCTTTCTTTGAATAACATGCCTAGGCTTGCTCTATCATGTCTATAGTTGGTCTGACTTCCTGATGGGCATCACAGACTTGTGATTACACACAGAGGTTATGGGGGAAGTTCCAAAAGCTTAGGACTTTCCCCAGATGGTTGGAATAAGATCACACACTCTGGCTGCCCCTATGGAGATCACCGAACTTTTCAACTCAAAGTAAAATCTGTGGAGTAAATGGTTGATCAAAAGGAACCAACGATATTGAGCACCATGCATGATCATCTGATTGTTACTGCTACCTCGTGAGTTAAAGGCTACTCTTCTCATTTTAGAAATGAGAAAAGAGATGCCCAGAGAGGACGAGTAACTTGCCATAGGTCACACAGCTTATATTAATCACGATAACATTTGCCACACTTTCTGTATTTTTTTTTTTAAGTTTCTAAGCCTTTAGTGCATGCCTGGTACCATTTTAGTTTACTTCATTTAATTGTTAAAATGACCTTCTGATGCAGGTATTTGTAGCTTTGCCATTCCGCAGATGAAGAAACTGAGATGAAAGAATTGACTTGTTCATTTGGAAGGAGCAGAATCAGGATATGAACTTGGGTTGGCCTGATTCTTGGGGCTGCATTCTTTCCATAACTTAATTGCTTGCTGTGATGTCCTGGGCTACTCTGCCAGGGGTGGTTAGTGGAGTGAATGGAGAATAATTTAGACAAGGTCAGTAACTCCCATGCCATCTAGAAATTAAAAGTTTAAAAGGCAGAGTCTGCAACTCTCCTTGATTTCTACAGAAATAAAGATGATCCCTCCTGTGACAGTGCTAAGTGACAATTCTGAGTGTAAATGCGCTTTTTGGCACAAATTGTCGTGTCCTAATAGTCTTGATTATAATTATAAAATAATGGGTTTCTGAAAGGCTGCAAGCAGTTCTGGGAATGGCAATAAGGGTTTAGAAACGACGTGATGTTTATGAGAGAAGTGTTTTGTTGAAAATTAAACTCACGTTTAGGAGAAAGGATTGTGTTGTATGCTCCCAGGAAACTATCTCACTATGTAATTAAATCAAAACTGGCCAGTTACCAATTTGAGCTTTTGACTCATACTAACAACACTCCATTTCCCATGGGCCAAGCAAGGCAGGACTGACCTGAAATAACCCAGCTTGACTCTATCCACAGCCACCCCAGGACCTTGCCCCTCTGTCTTCATAGGGCTCAGCCATGAGATGCTAGTGCATGACCCTTCTTCCTGGGACTCTCCTTGTCTTTCCCTTTAGACTCTTTCTGGAAGGTCTCTTCACCTCCTCAGAAAGGAATAAGCACTCTTTCTATTTATGGGATTCCCTGGGAGACACTATATAAAAATAGAGTAAAAAAAAAATCTATTAAAAAAAAGACAACTTCATGTTGTTTCTACTCTGACTTCATTTTTTTAAAGATGGGTAACAAAGACTTTCTTCAAGGTTAGAAAATTTATTTTAATGTCTATAGATTTAGACAGTGAAAGTGCAGTGTTGTTACATGAATATATTGCATGATGCTTTAGTCTGGGCTGTTAGCATCACTATCATCTGAACAGTATACTTTGTACCTATTCGGTACTTTCTCATCCCTTAACCCCTTCCCACCTTTCTGAGTCTTCATTGTCTATTATTTCATTCTCCATGTCCATATCTACAAATTATTTAATTTCCATCCGTAAGCGAGAGCATGGATGGAACTGGAGAAAAGTATTTTCTATTCCAAGATCAGTTCTTAGATCTTGTGTCTCTAGATCACTTGCTCTCTCACTTACATTTTTTCTGTCTTCTTCTAGCCTCCTTTTCAGCCTTCATTTTGACAAAGAATTCCAGGCAGTCTACAGCTAATTTTATTTCAATAGAACTAATAAAATGGAAATCATATATGAAGATGACAAAGTTGATCAGGTCCCAAACTCTCACTTGTAAACAAATGCTTGGCTTAAGAAACACTTAAGGACTTTAATTCTACTATCTATGTGTCTGTGTATCTACGTACTAATTATCTACCTTTATGATCTTTATTGCTAGAAATTCTGGTTCAATATCAGAGGCTAGTCCTAAGGAATTTATATTTTAAAATACTCTCCCAGTAATGTTCATACACAGACAGTTTTGGGAATTACTGTTATAATGGAAAATGGAGAACAACAACCCACATTTAATATGGTTATTGGTTTTGTTCGTGAGATTTATTGCTAAGATTCATAATATCCAAGGCAAGGTCAACAGGATGGAATATGGAATCATTCTTGTTAAAAAATAAAGGCATCTCATTGGTCAGATAATGTCTTTTTATTTTACACTGTATAGTTGATTCTTCTCAATCCCACTAGATCAGACTCTTTGGGATACTAGGATTGGCCTATTTGATGGTGAGCTCACTACATCCATTTAGATGCTGTGTCCAGGCAATCATTTTAGTTCTCCTAGTTTCTATCTATTATGTTGTCAGTTTCCCTTGTTTATCCTCCTGGGTAGCTGATACCCCATATAAATGTATACCAGAAAAATGTTGTGGTCTTCTCTAAATTCTCTGAGGTATCTGTTGTCAATGTGATGTTGTTTTTTGTTTCCAGTCCAAAATATATCAAAGTAAAATTTAACTCCACTTTTGCTAAGTATTCATCCTGCCGTGAGTACTAAGATTCCAAAAATGACTTTCCCTAAAAAACACAGGATTTCCTTGCAAAGACTTGCTGGGCCACTGCCAGTCTTCCCAGAAACTCCTTTTTCCTTATCACTGAAGGGAATTGGGGAAGTGATCACTGACGGTTGAAATTCACTAGTTTTGGTCTTTAAACTGAGATCCTGAGTCTTCTGAGGAGTCTACTGCTCCCCAGTGGGAAATACCTGCTGTCAAAATTTTCCTACTTGCAAAGAGGACTTTTGAAATTAACGGCAGGGGATGAATATCCAGCTAGTGCTGTGCTCAGCTGAGTTATTGCTGGGTCCTTCTGAGTCCTCTCTACACATCATCTTTGGCTGAATTAGCTGTGGTTTTAGTTCCTTGTCCAAGCCTGAGAGTCTGGCGCCACTAAAGGCAGGGAATACCTTTGCCAGTTTCTGTCATGTTATCAACTGAGATCAGATAAGTGAGCAGAAGCAGAGGTAGTGTGGTTTAGGATCCAGGTTTGCCACTGGGAGCTCACCTCTGGACTCAGGTCTCTCATCTGTAAAATGGGACATTTAGGTCAGATCAGCATTTTCAAAAGCGTGACATGTTGGTAAATAAGATGATTTTATGTGGTTGACAGATGAGTGTGTTACTTTAATGGTTATATGTTTATTTTCATGGTTACCTTTATTTATAATAAATTATGTGATTAGCTAAGAATCAATTATCTCTTTAGAATATATTTAAGTTTACAATGTAGGCCAACTTAGGGAAAAAACAGGGGATGAAATGAATTATATAAAAAGTATGCAGATTTGGAAAATTTTGAAGGTGTCACAAGAAAGACTGGCAATCAGAAAGCAATGAACGAAACAGCTGCTGAGGGTCAGGCCAGCTCTCTGACATTCTAGCATGTTCACGTCTCCAAGGCTGTTACCTTACCTATAAATTGCGGGGATTGGAGTAAATGTCCATTCCAGGAAATTCTGTTCTGTGATTAGATATGTGACTCCATCATCCAGATTTTCTAGCATCCTTAACATGTGGTTTTAGCATTCTAAACCTGATGATGCTATATCAAAATGGGAGACTCATTCATCAAGTCACGATGTATCCATGTATTTCTAATATTTCCCATGTTCCCTCATTTCTGAAAAGGATTAAGCTATCAACACCATTGAGTTGTAGGTGAAAGGCTGTGGAAACAAGACATTGATAGTGAAATGGCTCCACCACTAACAAGCTGTTGAACAAAGGCAAATCTCTTGATCTCTTTGCTCTTTGGTCTCTGTTTCTTTATCTATGAGATAACTTTATTTTTACACTGTCTTCTGTGAAAGCTTTGAGAATGAAATGAGACAGAGCATCCAATACAATTTAGGGAAGCGCTATATAAATGCAAGGAGTTATTATGATAACAGATTGAAAACTCCTCCAAGGAGGAGTTTCTCTTTTGCCCCATGTTATAAACCCAAGAATATCTTCCGTTTTGCCTACATATTCCAAAAGCTTTTAAATTAAGCTACATGTCATTCTTACAGGACTCTCCTCTATTTCAGCAGTGTGTATACTTGGTCAGTTTTAATTATCTTAAAGGAGAAGAATACAGTTTTTCTAAATTCAAGCACTTTTGTGGATTAATGCTTGCAATTATTCTTTCTTCTTTCCCATACTTGACATTTAAAGTGATATCTCCCAGGCTCCTACACTGTTAGTCACAGAGGTACCATTCGACCCCTTGTGCCTCTTACCATATGTGAATTCTTGTCAGTTGAGAGTAAACTTTCTCCATAAATTTCACAGTTGTGGGTTGATAAAAACAGAGAACTCTGGTTCCTCATCCCTTCCTGCTTTATCTCTTGAAATGCCATTCATGATGGTCCCTTATATCACTGTAGGGCTGCTATCATCCTTCATCCATATGCCACTGCAAATAGCAACCAACAGTGTCCTTAGTGCCAGCACTCCCAGGCATGCCCCTTTTCAAGCAGCAGGGTCAAGCCGCTCCCTTCCTGAGCTGTGGCATCTGTCTCTAAATCATGCTTCCTCTTTGCCTGCTGCAGGCCCTTGTCTCTGCCCTTCACTTTTTCTGGCTCTTGCCACGGTTTTGAAGGAAACTCTTGCAAATATCTGAAGCCCAATTCTGTTGCCATTCTAAGCTCTCTAAATGTCACCACAATCTTCCTTCCTTTGCATTTTCTTATTGGGCACTAAGTTAGTTCTTGCTTAGTGAGTCTTGTCTTTCTCTCTGCTTTGACCTGTCAGTATTCCAACTTCCTTATTTTTTGGTGTTCATTTTCTCTTTTCTCTCTTTCTTCCTTTCTTATCTGTGAACTCCATTAACTGCTTCTGCATGTGACCATTAATGTGCCTGTCTTTCTTCTCATGTATTAGAGCGAACAAAAGCTTTGGGGATCAGACAGATCTGTGTTCTGATCCTGTCTTATGGTACCTGTCTTGTTTGTCTCAGCTTAAAATGGGGATAATATCTACCTCTCAGTTTTGTTGGCGGTTTAGTTCAGGGAAATAAAGTGCTCACTTTCTCTTTTCTCCTTGAGAGTGTTCTTTATTTTACTCATCTGGCCAGCTAATATTTATGAAGAGGCTACTCTGTGGTTGAAAAGGCACATAAAACTGCAGAAGTAAATGACCAAGAAGTGCCCTGAAAGTTATGGAGTTCAGATTCATTTTAGCAAGAGAGGAATGTCAATACACACACACACACACACACACACACACACACACACACACACACACAGTTATGTCAACATGCAGGGTGGTAGGGGGTAGAGGGTTGTTCTTCCTAGAAGCAATCAGAGAAGGCTTTACAGAGGAGGGCCCATTTGAGCTGGAAATTGTAAAAGAACAGCTCTGCAGATGGATCTTTAAATTCTTAACCTAAAAGAAGAGCAAAAATGTAAATGATAAATCTGGGAAGTAATAAGTAGAAGACCATCTATAGCAGAGTGGAGGAAAAAAACAATATAGTATAAATACTGAATTACATGGAAGTTAATAGTTAATTTGCATCAGTTGACCCTGGCAAAGACATTTATCTGGACTATGTCTCAATTTGCTTATCTGTCAGTTAAGGATGATATATTAAATGAGTGCTTATACAAACAAAGTGCTTAAAACAGTGCAAGGCACTTAACAGTCATCAAAAATACTATTTTTGTGTGTGTGTGTGCTTTCATTATGAAATGGGGAGCATACAGCCAGACAGAAGCCTAGGTAATTTCTTAGCATTAAGCCCACTGGTTTGTGGTGCCTTGCATTTAGAAGGCCCAAGTCTTCATCCTGGTGTTGGTACAAACTTG